GGGGCGCTTATTCGATACCATAGAGTACTTAGTTTTAGTAAGAGTTTTACGGCACTTGCAACACAATATCGTCATGTGAGTGCTGAAGATTAGATGTGGTACAAGAGAGTCACAAACTGGAGAGATAAGGACGAGAGATGTTTGAATGGAAAGAAGGTGCAAACCTCACCAGAGCACCCGCCAACCTCTCATAATTAGTCTATAAGCCTGCTATAGTACTAGAACACATGTTGCCTTTTATGCACTTAGCAACAGTAGCCTACAAGTAACAGAAAGTTGTTCCATCTGCTGGGTCGCCTTTGTCCCTTCAATTGGTGTTGTAACCATAATTCATTTATCTTATTTTGTGGCTACTTCTGCGCAACTAAAACTGAAACTGAAAATAAAAGTCATAAGGCGAATGGGAGATTGGAAAGTCGGGTAAACAACACGCCGACTGTGAGATTTATTTCACATCAATACAAAACAAAGGGGGAGAGATGGGAGAGGGGGGGGGGGGGTCCATACCACAAAGCGTGCTGTACTTTTAATAGTGAGTGGTCGGCGGGTGCTCTCTTGTGATTTCCTCCTTTCTTTCCTGCTAATCATCTATCGTCATTATCGCTCCTCTTTCTTAAGTTTATATTTGTTACTCTCTTGTATCACCTCTAATCTTCGGCATTTACATAAAGTGACCTAATTGGGTTCCAAGTGCTTAAAACGCTTACTAAAACTAAAAATTTGCGTCTTCCCTGTTTAGCATCAAAAGTATAGATGTATAAGAACTAACCACTTTAGATGGCCGCTCCTAAGGAGTAGGCTTTTCTTGTTCTACATTTTTTTGGTTACCCCTCTTCCATGGGGCGACAAAATGCTGCCCTAAATAAATGGTATACGCATAACGCCTCTATCAACACTATTATGCTATTTAATAGGCTGAACCTCCGAGTTTAACGTCCATCTCAGAAAGGGCCAAGCCAAGTGGGAAATTTGTGTAAAGTGTCTTTCATAAGGACACAACGTCACCGAGCTAAGGCTCGAAACCCCGAACCCGCAACCTCACGATTATGAGTCCGGCAACTTAACCACTAGACTACCGACGTCATTAATGCTACTATAGAATTACAAAGTTATATCTACTCAGTACCTAGTTTTGAGAAATTTGAAGTTTAAAAAAATGAGTTTCACAGCATGTCAAGCTTTTTCGAATGCAGTTCTTTGAATATCTTACGATTTTGATAGAGCACATAGAACATAATTTGGTTTCGGAACTCATGGACGTAGTAACTCAAAATGGTCAAAAATATCAGATAGAACTTTGTAATTCTAGGGTAGCAATATGGGACCACACCACAAACACGCCCAAGCTTGTCCTTACATGATCATCCTCATCACCCAGTGCCAGATCTGCGACAGACGTCGGCGATCATGGTTTTCCCTTCATTCCTTTGCTCCGATGCTCTAAAAAAGCTACGTTTCCCTGATCTTTCCCTTTTACCCATTTGTTTGGGTTCCTTAAGTATGTTGTTCTGGGCCTACCCCTGCCTCGCTTGCCCTCAATTTTGCCAGTGAGAGCATTTGTCGTTTCCTGATTGTTTTTAACATTGAGCGTCCCACGTGGGCTTCATCAAGCACTACCTCATTTGATTTCTTTTCCTTTCACGATACTCTTAGCAATCTCCTAAGAAACCACATTTCTGTTGTTTCTATTTTATTTTCACTGTCTTTAGTGGTTGTCCAGCATTCTCAGCCATATAAAATGGTTGACCAAACATAGCCTTCCAGAACTTTCATTTTGGAGTTCATTGAGATGTTCCTATTTTTCAGGATTGGGCTCATTTTATTGAAACTAGCATTAGCCATTGTAGTTCTTTTTATTTCGGTGGAGCATTTGGCATCAGATGTGATCATATATCCTAGATATTTAAATTGTTGGACTTGTTTGATCTTTTCACCTTTGCTAATGAGATTACAACTAGGATTTACAGCTTTTTTTGGATATTACCAGGCATTCTGTTTTCTTCACATTCAACAATAATCCTTTACGTTCACTTTCTGTTACAACAGGATCTAGAAGCAATTGAAGGCCCTTTTTGGAGCCTGCTATTATAACTGTGTCATCTGCATACCTGATGTTATTAATATTTTCTCCATTTACTTTGAGGCCTAGACATTCTTTCATGTTTCTAAGGATTGTTTCACTGTGCATGTTAAAGGGTCTGGTGACATAACACATCCTTGCCTCACTCCTAGCCTAATCTGCTTATATTCACTGAATGCTCCATTAATTCGTACAGCACTGTTTTGGCCCCAGTACAAATTTCTGATAATTCTTAGATCGTTTCCATCTACGTCTAGCTTTTACAGTATTTTAAATAGCTCATCATGTCTAACTTTTCGAACGCCTTTGAATAATCTATGAAGTATAAGTACAAATCTTTCTGTGCTTCAATACATCTTTCCATTAACTTTGTTAAGGTGAATATAGCATTTCTGGTGCCCTTGTCAGGAAGAAAGCCGACTTGCGTTTTGGATATCTCTGGTCTTACACTTTTTCTCAATCTTCCCATTATTACTGGCAGCAATATTTTTGTAAAATGACTCATAAGGCTAATTATTCTATACATATCACACTCAGTGGCACCTGGTGTTTTAGGTAAAGCTATAAAAACTGACTTCATCATATCTTCTGGGATCTCAACGCTGTCATAAATAGCATTTAGGAGCTTTGTGGCTATTTCAGGGCCTAGTTCTTCAAGCGCGACAACCTCTTCAACTGGAATATTATCTGGCCCGGTGGCTTTTCCTTGTTTCATTTTCCTAATGGCAGCTTGTACTTCTACTTTCAGTATTGCTGGTCCATTTATTTCATTCTTTATTACCGGTTTTTCTCCTCTATTATCTTTGAAAAGTTCTTCTATGTATTCTGACCGTCTGTTTAAGACATCTCCGTTGTCCATTAAAATATCCCCTCCCTTTGATCTTATGCATCCTGTATTTGAGCATCCTTTTATCCCACTCACTTCTTTGATTTTGGAATGCATGTATTTGCTGTCTTTGTTTTGGTTCTTCTCTATTTGTTGACACTGATCATTTATCCATGTTTCTTTTGTTTAGTTGCATTTTAATTCTTTCCCTGTTTAAGATGTTGTACTTTTCCACATTTGATTTTGCCTTTCTTCTCTCTTCCATTAGTTTTGATATGCCATAGGTCATCCGTTTTTTATTAGCGTTTGTAGCTTTCGGGGGGATATTTTCTTCCACAGCTGCCATTATCGAGTCTTTCATTTTCCTCCATAATTCTTCCGATTTAGTAATGTTTTCCAAGGTTTGAAATTTATTTCTTACATCTATGGAGAAACGTTCTTTCAGTTCTCGATTTGTCTTTAAAAGACCTAGATCTATGTCAATAAGTATGAAGTCTATTTGATTTCTACTTCTATCGTCAGGACTCTTCCAAGTGTATCGTGTTCTTGGCTGATTTTCATACCAGGTGTTTGATATCAGAAAATTATTTTATCTGCACCATTCTACCAGTTGTTCCCCGCGTCCATTCTCTTTACCCAGTCCCCATGGCCCAACTACACACTCTATACGTGTACTTCCTACTCTGGCATTAAAGTCTCCCTTGACTATCTTTACATCTTGTGATTTTAACTGTTTCATTGCCTTATCGAGGTCTTCTTAAAAAGTCTCAATTTACTCGTTGCCGTGCTCTTTAAATGGTAATAACAGAAAAAACAAGAACGTTGGCTTGGATACCTTCGAACGTTCATCGCCAATCTAAATCATCATGATTATAGAGAAAAGAAGAAAAAGAAAAAGAAGAACAAGAAGAAGAACAAGAACAAGAACAAGAACAAGATCAAGAACAAGAAGAACAAGAAGGAGGAGGAGGAGGAGGAGAGGAGGAGGAGGAGGAGGAGGAGGGGGGAGGAGGAGGAGAAGGAGGAGGAGAAGAAGAAGAAGAAGAAGAAGAAGAAGAAGAAGAAGAAGAAGAAGAAGAAGAAGAAGAAGAAGAAGAAGAAGAAGAAGAAGAAGAAGAAGAAGAAGAAGAAGAAGAAGAAGAAGAAGAAGAAGAAGAAGAAGAAGAAGAAGAAGAAGAAGAAGAAGAAGAGCAATAATAATATAGTGCATTTATATAGCGCTCTATCTCATACGAGTGTAAACTCTGAGGGCTTTGCTTTACCTCAATGACATGATCACCGAACGTAACACTTCATTCACACAAGACACAAAATTTCACAGTAACAAGAAAACCAGTTCAACCACACAAAGAGGAACTTTCACAACCATACATTAATTTATATACTCGTAAGGACAGCAGTAAAAACGAAACAAATCAGCATTCAGCACTGACTAACAAACTACAATTAAGAATTAAACAAATGTGTCTTCATGGGCCATCGCTTAAAAGTATTATATTTGTAATTCTCTGAGGTCCTGGGGGCAAGGAGTTCCAGATTTTAGGGTCAAAAATGAGAAAATTCTTTACTGGCCAACACTGGGGAGTGCCAAACTTATTAGAGAATGACCCAAGGGTAAATTTAAGGGTCTGAAAAGGATAAAAACTTAAGCTTTAGTAAAAGTTTTAGCGCATCTGAAACACATTAAGGCTATCTAGATATCTAAGTGCCGAAGATCAAAAGTGTTACAAGAGAGTAACGCCCCCCCCCCCCCATACCAACCCCCACCCCATACCCTTGATTGTTGAAAAATATGTGTGTGGAGAGGGAGGGGGCGGTCAGAGGGTCGGTCGAGATTCTCTCGAAAACTTCACTACTTTTGTGTACAAACATTGAAGTAGTCTAATCTTACCTTGTAACCCTAATTCTCTACATCTGAATAAAACATTGGAAAGTAGAATTGTGCCTCGTATTTCTTCATATAAAAAAAAAATCAAAACACCAATAAACTAACTAGCGAACAAACGAATAAATATCTAGCCTACAGGCGAAGATGCAGAAATACGAGACAGTACATGTATTCTTTGTCTGGCAGTTACGTAGTAGCCTGCATTTGTCAACCTCTTTTGACACAGATAGTTATTTGGCTCTAATACAATTCTAATAAGCTTAGCAATCCCTTACCTTTCTCGTATCTAACACTTGCAACACAAGTCTTCAAAGAGTCGAATCATAATATAGAATCTCCATTACGATTTAAAGAGTCTCTGTTTAACTTACATAAGGTAATGGTTTTCTTTTCCGAGCTGCTCCTTCTCCTTCTTGTCCTTCTTGCTCTTTGTTCTGTGGCAGTCAGACAGCCAATCCCGTGGTGCACAGAAACTTTGCAGTTCTCTTTAGTTTTAGATCCTCCAACTTTCTGAATAAATTCTACACCACCAGTGCTGCACTCCGGTTCCTACTATAATCCTGAACGCCAACCAATCGTGACGTCTTGTCTTGGCAACGACTAGATAGTGACAGAGACACAGACGGATAGGTGCGTATATGCTGTGTACTAGCTAGGCCTAACTACAGCAGTCTCTGATAATGATACTGAAAATAGAACAAAAGTAAAGAGTTTACAGAGGATCTTATGGGTGATAACAGAGTTTTGTAATACAGTTTCCCAGAATCGGTAAGTTTATTTTCAGATCTGACGTGTTTGCACACACCTTATTCTGTGTAGTTGTGCTAGCATTATTTATACTAGTCCCAAGACCAAAAAAGTCACAAAAGTGATTCATGCAAGCGCAGTTTGTAACAATTCTTAATCTGCACGTGGACTCCTCATCCTCCTCCCTTTTTTTCGTTCCCTAAAGAATTCATATGTATGTGTGTGTGTGTGTGTGCGTGTGTGTGTGTGTGTGTG